GGGGGGGGGGAAAGTCGGGAGGAACGGCGGAAAGCGGGAGCGATGTATGTGCTATGTGTTTTTTGAGTGGTGCTGTGAGCGGGCGGGAGTGCAGGCAGCGGAATGGTAAAATATTGGCTTTCGGCCATCTCGTGGCATTTCTGTCGCTCTTCTGGAAGTCGAAGTGGCGTGATTTGCTCTGTTCCCCCTGTCCTTGATTTGTCCGTGGAAGGAAGCGTTTAATTCCTTAGTACCTTGTAATTGGTAGCGAGGACGAAGAACGGAAGACGAGTTTAGGGCAAAGGGGTTACAAAGGGGATCAAAACCACAAAAGAAGAAATGTCTCATACGGGTCCCTGCCTTTGCATTGCATTCCATCACGTCCTCCTGGTTCCTGTGCGTACCTCTGCCCTCTCTTTGTGTCTGTGTGCCACAAAAACCACCTGATTGAAGCGTCCCCAGCAGCATATCGTCGGTGTCGTTCTATGATCGGAGCACTTCGATGAATTTGGTTCTTCAAGAGCGAGTCCTCAGGCTGCTGACATAAGTTTTTATTATTGTTATTTAAATGGCTGGCTCATTCCGCACTGGTATGCTCTTTTATCCTGCACATTTTTTCTCAATCCTCATCATTACTTGGTTCTCCTTCCGCATGCTATCGGAAACATACAGATTTTGTTTTCGATTGAATCGTGCAGACATTGTCGCCATGGCACGTCGTCCAGCTAAGAATATTTGACAGGTGCTATAATGCTGGGGATGCCGGCAATTCCGTGTCCTAACGAGGCGAGAGAATCCGAGGAGATTATGAGTGTATGCTGAATTATAGAGGACGCTTCCGATTGTAGTTGCTAGGGAATAAGCTCATGCAGGCGTTTCATTTTTTGGCCGTATAGGTGGGGAGGTTATTCTTCGCTACATTCTGGAGTGACGCCATTGTCATAAGCTCCATACTGCAACCCAAAAAAAATGTCAAACACTGTCTCCGATGCAACATGATCCCCCCACAGATACATTTATTTACATCGATGATAATAATGTGCACTTTGATCAAAATGTAATCGCGGCATTGTCATCAAGTCAGTAATTTAAACTCCTCTCACCATGCTGAAGTTAACTACAACGACAATACTCGATGCATTTCATGCGGCATCTTTCTTAAAAATTGCTTCAGGCCAGACGATTGCTGGTCGTGTAAATGGTTAAGCTGAATAAGAAGCTTTTACCTTCTTTTCTTGACAAAATTTCGTGCAGGTTTGACTTCAGGCACGTTTTAAAGGAGGAAGGAGGAGGTGAGGATGACTATGAACTTGGCAAAATTTCCTTGCTGCTTTTACATCTCTAGTGGCCGCGCCAGCACCACCAGCATGAGTAGCATCAGTGAAGACGTGTCTATTTGCCGGAACAAGAAGATGATATTTGCCCAACAACATCGACTACGCCCGCGACGTCAAGCGTCTGGTCGCTTTTCGACACCATGCGTCCACCATGACCATACGTCCTTTCTTGTGGTCATGTGTTTAGCCACTTTAAGTCTACTCACCATGAATGTGGATGCATTTCTCCTTGCGCACTCGACTGCGCTGCAATCACCTCCGTCTTATTTCTATTCCTTTTCGAGTGCCCCCCGGCCAACTTCTTTTTCTTCCGTCGCGCGTCCGACACGAGGGCGGGGCAGCGTGAGAGGAAAGAACTTGGTCTCCAGCGGATGGAAGAGGTAAGAGAGCAACCACAGCTACGAAGCCATGATATGCCCTCTAGCTCTCTGATTACACCGTTCGTGCTGCGAGCACATCTCCTGGCACGCTTGCATCCCCCAATGACCCTCACGAATTGCGCTTCTCATCCCGCGACCATTCTTCACCCCTTCTTTGTCATGACCTAGCCAACACAGACAAGCGACGAGGACAAGCCTTGACGCCAGCACAATGGTGTCGCCGAACCGGAAGACGAACCATCGCATGCCTCTCAGCCCCATGCCGCGGGAGGGTACGTCCCCATTCTCTCCTCTTTCTCCCGTTATGTATATTCCCTTATGAACCACCTTTATTGCCAGCCGATACGCTTGCATGCCTTGATCCCCCTTCTTTGTTACAGATGCCTTGGAGGCATGGAGGACATTCGTCAACGACAATTTGAACGATAGCGGTCGAGATGTGCGGGTCTCGGTCCAAATGGCCGACGCCATGTTCGATTGCGGGTGCGTCTCGATTGGGTACTCGAATCCTCAGCGACGGGCTCATGGAGGCCGTCACCCTCTATCATGCGGATCACTCACAGGGACATCCAGGCGGGGGAAGCGGGTGCCTACCTGATCGAGGAGGGGCCTGGAGAGGACGGAGAGCCCCCCGTGCGTGGGCAGGGAGGGAGGGAGAGCGGGGGCAATATGGAAAGGGAGGAATATGGAGGAGTAGTGAGCTCAGTGGTCGTGGGATGGTAGAAGGCTAGAGCTTGTGCTTGTGAAGGGGGGGACAGGGGGATGAGGGTGGGGCAAATACACACCTTTTCACGGGAATCATTCAAAACCTTTGAATTTAAAATTAAAATCGAATGCTCCTCTCTATATTCCCCTGGTATTTGAGTAGGATCGAGCATCGATGAAGACAAGCCGAGGCCGGGAGCTTTTCTTCCTCCTGGACGGGCAGGTTCGCATTCAAGTGCGCGGACAAAAAGTGGCCCGCCTGGGGTGAGGAGGGAAGG